AATGCCAGCTCTCCCAGGGGCAGGGCCTTCCCTGTCAGTTGGGCACCTATCAAAGCTGCGCTGACTGACCCCTCCCCCCTTTGGTCTAACTGGAATTTTTTATGCTTTGATGGGACCAAGTTTCTTGGGGCCTCCCTCTGAAAGAGCAAGATGCCCCCAAGTGTTGGGGGTGGCAGCCCCCCCGCAGGTGTCACACACTCTCACCTGATGCCTGCGCTTCCTGTGCCCCCACCCTGGCCTCCAGGCCTTCCTCTCGGACCCTGGGCACTGGATCCCGTGCTCGGAGCCTGTGGCTTTGCTTGGCCTCTGGTGACCAGGGAAACTCTCCTTGGTGGGGGGAGGGGTGGGGGGGCAGGGCTTCGGGCCCTCGGGAGTCGGGGAACTCCCTTGGGAGGAGGGACCCTCCCGAGACAGAAGCACCCGGCCTCTCGGCCCGGGGGGCCCCCCTGCAGGGGTCCCCTGGGACTGGGGCATCCACAGCCCTCCTAGAGGCCTTAGCAGAGGAGGTACTGGCCCATCTGGACTGACCTTTGGGTGAAGCAGGGGGAGGGAGGTGGGGCTGGACTCAGTTCGGGAAGGTTCTACACCCTGAGGGGGGGTGTTCCGAGTCACAGGGACATCTGGGTTTGGAGGGGCCCAGCTCTGAGTGCCCCACCCAGGTCAGGGTGTCTCTCCAAACCCATTATCAACGGACGGTCAGACGTGGAGCGGGTTAATGCTTAGCCAGCCCGCAGGACTCGTCGGGCAGGACTTCCCGGAGACTCAGCCCAGGTTAAGGCTGCTTTGGGGATATGACAGGTGGGACGTGCGCACATGCATGCACACATGGGTGCCCCTGCTGGTCACGCGTGGCTCTGGGGACACGTGTTCCCCTAAAAAGGGCCTGGGTCCCTCTGCTCATCCCACCCAGAGATGGGGGTTTAGAAGAGGCAGCTAAACAGTTCTGGGGCTCAGAGGAGGCCTGCTGCAGGGCAGCGGGCATGCAGGCTCCCGTGCTGCGGGAGCGAGGTGCGTGGGTGGGCGTGATGGGGGCACGTTTGCTTGCCCTGCATGCGACTCTCCCCAGCCTGACTGTGAGGGCCTTTGTGCCTTTCCCCGGATCCGGGCGCCTCCGTGGCGAGACGGGCGTCTGAGGTTCCAGGGCAGGAAGGGGAAAACCAAACAGAGCTGGCAGCCCCAGGCCAGCCCTGCGGCCCCCGAGACGGCGGCTTGGCAGCCAAGAGCCACATGGAGACCCTGGCGGGGCTCCTGGACGGGGATGCTTCCTTTGAGGTTGCTTGGGGAATGTTTGAGGTTGGAACTCATGGCAGTCGCCGGCTTGGGGGAGCCGGGAGCTGCTGGCAAGGAACCGTGAGACGTGCTGGGACGGCACGCGTGCACCCTGCCCGCGCTGACCCGGCTGCCACATCCCGCTCAGCTGGGGCGCCCTGTGTAGCGGGGCCTGGGCCGAGGACGGGAGCGGGCGCTCGGCTTGCCACAGTCTCCGAGGACTGGGGCACCCCATGCCCACTCACCGGGTCCCAGCCTTGGTTCAGGCTCACCGTACCCTCTTCATCCGAGCACCTGTGCCCCGTCGTTGGAGTGTTGGGGGACCTGTACACATCATGTGAACTTTGGAGGAGCCTGCGCCCTGTCACCCGAGTGAGCACCCTCCTCGGAGTGTCGGCATCGCGGTGCCGGTTCCCTGAGCTTCCCTCCGTCTTCCGAAGCCCTGCCTGGCGGCTGTGAGTCTGGATCTCCCTCTCCCTGGAGTATCTGCGGGAATCATACCCCATTCACCTGGAGGCTGCGGGAACACATACCCCATCGTCTGGCTGCACGCGTAGTGTGTAATCCATTCACCAGCACTCACGTCAGAGACCTGGGGTTCTCCGTGACCCAGGCCTCAGGGTCCCTCCTGGGGCCGCTTGCACCCTCCCCGCATTGACTGCATCTCCCAAGGGCCTCTGGGACCCTGCTGGCCGGGACCTGGTTCCTCTGCACCTTTGGAGCCCCATTCACCTTCCCTTGGGGTATCTATTCATTGGGGCACCCCTGCTGTCAGAGCATCTTTTCCCCACTCCTGCGGATACCTGGAGACACACCTGACCATCTGAACTTCCGGCAGCCTCTCGCCTCGTACCCAAGGTGCCGGGGGCATGCTCCCCGCTAGTCTGGACACCAGGACTCTGTTCTGTGGTCACCTGGCTCCTGGAAAGTCTGTACCCATTTGTGGGGCCCCTGGGTGCTGAATGCC